CCCATCGGATGAGCTCGGCGGCCGACCTCCTGAGGCTCCGCCCACTTGCGGCCGTCGCCCGACGTCGTGTAGAAGACGTGGAGCGGCTTGAACTGCCCGTGCGCGGGCTTGAGGGAGAAGAAGTATAGCATCAGCTTCCCTCGGATCTCGAAGAGCAGCATCTCCCGCAGGTCGCAGCCGTTCGTGTATGTCCACTCGACGGACCAATCGTTCAGGTCCTTGGAATGTGCTAATACGAGCCGCGTCTTGCCGGAGGGGAAGTGCACGTCCGACTGCCGGTACGCCAGGATGTACGTGCCGCGAAACGTTGTAATGGTCACGTTGTTATTGCTATGCAGCCCAGGCACATCGGTCGATACCTGGATGGCGCGCCCCAGCATCACGTCAACGCTAAGGGGTGCGGAAGGTATGCCCGCAGGCCGTGGCGGCCTCTTGAAACTTGCCAGATAGCTGAGGAGCCCCGCGATCAGCGTCACTATGATGGACCACCACCATCTGCAGAGCAGGAATAACAAGACCATTCCCCAGAACAACTGGCCGTAAAACGATTTAGACATGATCTGCATGCCGACCCAATGAATCCACGGCAACAGCGAGCCGCCGGCAAGGTTCGTGTCCTTAGTGGAATTGTTTTGTTTCGAACTCGCTCTGGCACCGCTTGCAGTTGCGATCGCCAGCACGCGATCGAACCACGATCGCCCCGATGGTCGGGCAACGTCGGCCAGACAACGACTGGCCACGAGTGAGCTGGCGATCTGTGCGAATGTCCTCCCCCTGATTTTGCACAACGGCCCATTGCAGCATCACCGCGAGTACTGAAAAGCGTGCACACGAGCTCTCGAATGTCGGTCTTGCAATCGAACGGCCTCTATTACAACGTCATCTAATTACAAACAAATACGCAGTTTCCTAAAGCTCGGGGAGCTCTGCGAAGTCAAAGGTCACAGGCGACGCTCGCTCTCGCTTGCCCCCCCTCCCCCATCGGCTGGATTCGGACTGGCACTGGAAAGCAAGATCGGCGACTAGATGCAATGTACTACTGCCACGGCGTATGTCTACAACCCGATGTCACTAAGCAAGCATCGTTACGCAAGTACTTGGACAGTGGTCCACAATAAGTTCCACGACGTATATACTCGCAGAAACATGGAAATACGCAAACACGTCGCGAAGTGCCCACTGGTGCGCTTCCAAGCATTGCAGAGACTGCTGTACCTTGCGTTGCCTCCGTCTGCATGGCTATAAGGCTACAGCCTCGCGCATGGCGATCATCTCAGCCTCCATCTTCTCCATCTCAGTCTGCTTCTTCGGCGCACCCTTCTTTGCATCCCGAGCCATACTCGCCGAGAAGGCGGAAAACTGACTGCAATGGAGGGAGTCACCGAAAGCTGATGGACCGAGGCCCTTGATCCAAAAACGCCATCTGAAATCACAGTCACTATTACCACCACGAACACTTGCAATACTTTTGGCACACGTGCCTAGGGGAGCACTTGGGTACCGATACTGCTACACACCAGACCTATCCCGGGGTGCGTTCTGCCCGTGGCGACCAGGAGAGGGCAGCGGCATCGGTATCTCGTCCTCCTCTGGCTGACGGCTATCCTCGTGGCCGTCGAGCGCGAGTTTAGGAAAAAGCTTCGCTCCGGCTGGACGGTGCTGAGCAATGAGACAGGCCAAAGCCAGACGACGAGCTGAGCGCGGGACGTCGCGGTGCGGGCTCGCGCGCGGCGAGAGGTGCGGCGGTGGCCGGACGCTGCACGGCGCCGGACGCTGCCCGACACCGGCGGGGAGCTCGAGGCCGTGCTCGTGGTCTCCAGGGCAGCCAGCTCTGCACCGCCGCGGAGTGGCGACGGCGGGCCCGAGGAGCGTGGCCTGTGGGCGAAGCGCTCCCTGGCGTTGACTCAAGGGGCCCAAGGACACACAAATAGATACCCAAAAATAAAAGGATCCCCCACATTTTTCCATATTTTCTGGGTTTGGGAGTCGACGATGAATTGTGTCTGTGTGTGTTTTTTCCCTCCTGATTGACGTGCGGGTGTCCGCAGAGGAGGGTCCTGACGTGGAGGGGGGGGGGGGGGCGAGGACCGAGCGGTCGCCACGTTCCTGGAGGGCAGGGGGGGAGACCGAGCCGTGGAGCTGCGGGTGCGACGGCGGGCGGGCAACACGCCGAGCATCGCTGCGAGCGGGCAGCACGCCGAGTGTATCAGCGAGCACACGGGATGTGGGGCAGGGCTGGAGCTGATGCGTTCTGAGAGAGGCCTCGAGGGCCCAGGGAAACAGGTGACAACGGAGTCTGCCAATGGCCGCTGTTGCAGTCTGTGCACTGGCGAGCTCGAAGTCGGGCAACAACATGCAACAACTGTGTGGATCACGCGCGAGGCACGTCATCCAAACAGCGACGGCAAGCCGCAGCTCCTTAGCAGAGGATTTGCTCATTCACATGCGCACCCGAAGAGAACAAGACGGATGCTCGCCCCATAGAGTCAACAGCGAGCGGGCTCCTGTTATTTCCTCGATATTCGCTTGACGCCCGTCAGGTGACAAACGTACCAGTCAGTCTTTCGACGAGGTGTGTCCGTTGAGTGACTGGCAATCGGTTAGGCGGTGGTGGAGGTGTGGCTCGCTCTGGCTGCCCACTCATGCGACAGTCGTCACCCTCCTCCATCCTCCCTCGTGAACTACCCGCGAGCTATCCGCGACCCACCCACACTGCTTTGACGAAAAGTCGACGCCTGCGGCGGGCTTCTTCAGAGCCTTGCAGACTGCCGACGACACCGCCGACCTGAAGTGGGCCCCGGAAACGGCAGGGCCGTTTTTTCACCGCTTCCGAAAAACTGTTTTGAAAATGAAGACGGCACAACAACGGCGACTGGAAACGGCAACAAAAACAACTCTGGGATCAGAACTGGAGCCCGAACCGGTAAAACAACGGCGACGGAACCAATAAAAAACCGGCGTCGGAACCGGCAAAAAAAGCAAAACGGAACCTGTGAAAAAACGGCCCTGTCGTTTCCAGGGCCCTCTAAGCCGCCGCCCCCTCACTGTCATCCGAACTTCGGAGGCTACAGTACGCTCCTTTCCAGTGCAGCCCCAAGGATCTGTCAGAAGCTGCTCCTAAACCCGTCGATAACGGGCAGCATGGCGACCCCAATCCACGACTTTGCGAACCTTTTCGCTGAGCAAAACGAATGGTGGGGCGTCCGTCCTCGATAGGAGCGCGTCCGAGTAGCCTCCTGGGACTGCCTGCCTTCGTTTCCCTTCGCCTCTGAGCGGCCAGGAGCTTGGGGGGGGACCTCGGCGACCGGGGGAGAGAAGTCGCCCGCGGGTCTGGCCGGGCTCCATCCTGACAAATTGTTCGCGCCACCTCCAGCTGGGACGTAGAGGGGCTGCCTCCGGGCCGAAAGCGTAAGGCAGGAAGGACTGCAAGGATTGGCCTTGGCGCGGGCGCTCTGCGAAGCAGGGCCGCAGGAATGGATGGCTGGGCGCTGGCGCGCGCTCTCAAAAGGTGCGATGTCGTCTCGTGCGCGCAAGCCGTGCGCTACAAACCCCAGTGCACGGCGGACAGCAAGATGAGGTCGGGCATGTCCTGCTGCAGGCGGATTTGAGGAAAAATCAACATAGTCAACACAGATTGAGAGGTGTCAAATAATGATAGAAAAATCGTCCCCAAACTGTGTGTTAGACTATTTGTTATGCTCCTCCTGTAGACGGACATGCCCGACTTAACAGTAAGATGAAGTCAAGACTTGGGAAACCAAACAAATATCGATAACCTGCTACTCCCCGGAGCTCTCCCGGGGTGAATTCTGACCAGGTTCCGTGGCGCATTCAGAAGTGGCGACGAAGGCCTGCCAGGAGGCCCAAAGAGGGGAAAACGGGCGGGGGGTAGAGGTACCCATTGGTCAGAAGAAGTAGGTAGAAACACGAAGTAGGAAGGCGCTGAAAGTAGATTGGGTGTCCGCCCGCCCCCTACAAAGGACGAAAGAGGTGAAGCCACTCGATCGTTGAAGCAGGAAGGCGCTCAAAGTAGACAGGAATCTGGGAATTCCAGAAATACCTATCTTCAAAGACCGTTGGGTATGGGCAACTTCTTCCTCCTCTGCAGGACGGGGACACGCTTGGGCCGAGACAACGTCTCTGAACTCCTGCGGCTCCGGAGGATGCCACCATCGGGTGCTGCGGCCGCTCCTCGGGAGACTCTTCATGGGGGGGGGATCCCATGGGGGGAGAGGGATCCCATAGGGGGGGGGATCCCATGGGGGGAGAGGATCCCAGGGGGGGGATCCCATGGGATCCCCCCCATGGAGAGTCTCCTGAGCTCCACGAAAGCGCTCCAGGGCACGCTCGAAGACCCGGCCCCGCCCGCACACACTCCGAGGTGCGAACGCCCTGCTGCTGCTTCAGTGCGGGCCCCTCGAGGTCCCGATCCCTTCCCACAGAGGCCTCCCAGATTGAGGTCGGGCATGTCCTCCTACAGGGGGATTTTGGAGGGAAAACTGCAAAAACTGAAAACACACTCGCAAATAACAAAACAAATGCGCAAAAAAACGTCCCCGGAATATTTCTTGGCTTTAGCGGGACATGCCCGACTTAATCCTAGATGGGATCCGAGCAGGTGGGGTCGGAGGAGCACGGCGATGCATGGGCGATGTCAACAGTACACGCGTCGGGCCGCATCGCCAAGGCATCGGCGATGAGTCGGCGATGCGGCGCGATCCTCCGACCCCACCTACTCCGACCCCATCTAGGAGGCCTAGGTCCCCACGGCTGTTTTTTCGTCCCGGGTCGCTTCTTGGCGGGCCCCCGTAAGCTGGAAAACTGCCAAAATAAAACGCTTCCGTCGTGATCTCTTCACGACGCGAGCGTGCCGGGGTCTGGCGTTCCAGAACCGATCCCCGGATCTGTTCCAGGGAGCGCCCTGGCCAGCATTCCGAGGTGGATCCAGCCGTGGCGACGGCGACGAGGAGCTCCCCGGAGACCCCCCAAAAAGCTGCAAATAATCCACACACGCACAAAAACTAGATCCTCGAGCCTCGAGGCCGACAACTGCCAGAAACCTTCCGTCCTGCTCTCTTCTCCACGACGCGAGCCCCTCGTGGGACGCAGCGTGGCGGGCTCCAGGCGGCCAACCGCGGCCCCTCCCCGGCGGCGGCGGCGGGGGCCGGCACCGGGCTGCGCACCCGAGGGGCCCGGGGCAGCTGCGGCGGCAGCGCCCGCCGACGCCAGCCTCCTCGTTCAGGCCCTGGGCCGGCGAGGCCTGGGCGCGGACGGGGGCCCCCTCGCGCCTTGTGGAAAGGTCACGGCAATTGCTCTATATGTTCGGCCTCCGAGGGCCCTCACCGGGCCCCCCGACATTTAAAAAACGACTCAGGATGAAAAGCCTGTCCCGGGGTGGGGGTCCAGGCATCTGGGGGTCGACGTTTCGGGTCTGGGAGTGGGGCCCCCCGAGCTCTTCATCCAGCCTCCTCGTCCAGGCTCCCTGCTGAGGGGAGCAGCCGCCCCCTTTCAGGAGGCACCTATGCTGGGAGGTCTTCGTCGGAAGCGTAAAGGAGAATCGAGCCCCACCAGGGGACTGCTGCGCTGGATGAGGCCGCGGAGCAAGCGGGATGAAGCCGGATCGGATTTCGGGGCAGGGCAGAGTCAGAATTTGACGCAGGCCTGCGCTGGATCGAATCGCTAAGTTAGGGGGCCACATGCGAACCCTACCCTTACCCCCACGATTTCTGAGGGGGAGGGTGGGGTTCACTTCGCTCGAGGGCTGCCGAATGAAGAGAACCCCACCCTCCCCCTCAGAAATCGTGGGGGGTAGGGGTAGGGTTTGCATGTGGCCCCCTAGAAGTCGGATCGGAGCGGAACCAGGTCGCACCGCGGGTCGGCGAACCGAGCCGAATCGACTCGAATCGCATCGGAATCGCGGCCTCGGCTGGCGCATCGAGTCGCGCACCGACTCGGATCGTAGGGCGCGCCCTGGGCCGGCGCGCCCCCGGCGCGGAGGGGGGGCCTCCTCCCTGCTGGAGAGGAGCAGCCGACCCTGGACCCCCGACGCCAAGTTTTTTCACAACGTCGACCCCCATATAAAACAGGGCTAGGATCGGGATAAATCGCTCCAGAGCGTTCCGGAGCGCTCTCAGAGCGTTCCGGAACGCTCTGGAGCGGCCGCGGCGCCCAATACATCCTCCAAACCCGCCGATTCTCTGAGATTTCGAGTTATCCCGATCCGATTTTGTCCCGATCTTCGCGTCGTTTGACCATAGGTCTCGCGACCCGTATTCCTTGGACCGGTCTTTCAACCTGAGCCGTCGTTTGACGGCCCAGGGTTTGGGTCGGGCACGTCC